CATACGTTGCTTGTTTTATCTTGTGTATTCACTAGCCTTTGTGTGTTTGCTTTCAGTGCATCAGTATTTTTTCTACTTTGAAAATGTTTATAATTGTGATACACAATAAACAGTCTGAATACATTCTAAATGTTTTTGCTTTTTGTTTTGTTTAAGGGATTCTCCACTGGTAAAAATTAATGTATGCAAAACGAAGCAAAATGATCATAATATACCCACGTAAGCTCACGATGGAGCCAATTTCTAAACCCACCTCTTACTGAACTGGTATCCAATGCAAATCCCAGAACGGGCCCATGTTTAACATAATATAGAATAAAATCATGCATTTAAAATCATTAGTGATGCAGCAGATTATCCAGTTTTGTATTTGTGTACTAAAAAAACTACAGTAATTATTGCATACAGAATCAGAAAAAGTAGCTGTTGATCAAGTTAAATTGCAAAACAGTGTGACATACACAGCTGGCTTGTGTTTTATAAAGACATACTGAATGGGTTGACACCTGTGTTTTAGGGAAATACACAACTGTTTTCATTCCACTGACTGCTTATGATATTGTAATTATAAAGTATAATTTTTCAGACATTTTTGTCATCGTTGATCTAAAATAAAATGTCTGAGAAATTACATTCTAAACCCACTGAAACAGTGCTCCAAGGAAGATGTAAGATTTAGCCTCTATTTCAGTGGCCTCTCCACTTGGCTCAAGAATTTGTTTTTTTGTTGTTTTAACTGTTTAGAATGAATGCAGAAATATTGTTAGAAATGTATTTATGAATGTGGAAAATATTATACCCTTTGACAAAAGGCAGATGGTCTGCGGAACGACCAGCAGTATATGTCCTTGAAGATATACACACAAAGACTGCAGATAATGACCTGTTACAAAGGAGAAGCTTTCTGTTTTTATTTATTTAACCAAAATCAACATGGAGTTTTCATTCTGAAATGGCTTTTGTCAACACTTATCGATTATTAGGAAGAATTATTACTAATATTTTGCATGTTCTGCAATAAATGAGTGTGGCATCCTGCAAGGCCACTTCTGGGCCATGGACCAAGGTGGGTAGTCAGCCGTAACTGTGTGCCATATATGTGCCAGATCTGGCCCACACCTTTTAAATATGGTCACTTTACAGTGTGTGGGCCAGATCTGGACCACAGCCATTAAACTTGCACACATTACAGTACATGGGCCAGAGCTGGGCCAGATCCCTTGGTTCTACTCACTTTACAGTACGTGGGCCAGATCTGGGCCACATCTGTTAGTTCTACTCACTTTACAGTATGTGGGCCAGATCTGGGCCACATCTGTTAGTTCTACTCACTTTACAGTATATGGGCCAGATCTGGGCCACATCTGTTAGTTCTACTCACTTTACAGTATATGGGCCAGATCTGGGCCACATCTGTTAGTTCTACTCACTTTACAGTATATGGGCCAGATCTGGGCCACATCTGTTAGTTATACTAATTTTATAGTGTGTTGGCCTCATCTGGGCCGCATCCATTAGTTCTTCTCGTATTACAGTATATGGGCCAGATCTGGGCCGGGGACCCAGCCAGAACTGGGCCAGAACTCAACCAAGGATGTGGCCCACAAGTGGGCCAGATAAATTTTGCTGACTGGGTAGTCATTATTTTTTCTCTCTCAGTTGTTTGTAATATTTGTCTATTTTCCAAAATAAAAGTCTCTGTGCATTCAAAATATGTTTGAGAAGATTAAAACTAGGCAGAGCTTGTATACAGGACAGTAATCTGGGGTGGGCTGCCGACTTTATCAAGCCAGTGGACCAGTAGCTCAGCAGGCTACAGCTTTGCCTTTGTCTTTCAGAACAGGCTTGATTTCGTCTTTCTGTCACTCCAGCACCAATCAGTCGACTTCACTCTCTCTAATCCAGTTTTTATCATCTCTACTCGTGACAGCAGAGGACCAGTTAGTCAGAACTGAACCAGTGTTGGGCTTTTTGGATCTCACTAGCCAGTGCTAACTAGGAGAGAGGAGCTGGCTAGCATTAGCCTAGCAAGGAAGCTACAGTTCTGAAACACCACAAAACAGGTTTTATTATGGTTCTCTGTCCCTCCAAAACCAGCTGCTCAGCTTTGCGTCAGTAAAGCTTTGGTTAGTCAGAATCGGACCTGTTTTGTGGTGAGCAGAGTTGGCAGCACGTTAGCTAAGCTAGTAGCTCTTCTCTCCTGGTTAGCAGCGCCGCGTAACATTTAGCAGTTGCTGTTCGATTATAGCTTTGAGATTTACTGAATGGTGGATTTAAGATTGTGAACTTTCACTTATTCGGCATCTGCGTAAGCGAACTGATAACAAGAAGATAGTGGTCCCCTGTTGGCCTGCTGATGGCAAAGCTGGCGGTCCACTGGCGGTTTGCTTAGCGTCTTCTGGGCGGCCCACCGGCGGTTAAGCAGAGTATTAGACAAAATTCCACTTATCATCACTCATTTTCCACTCACAGTCCAGTTTACAGATTTTTCCTTCCTTCGTTTCTTTAGTTATACTGTAAATTAGTGTAGTAGATCATTTTAATCCAGCGCAGAGTCAGCAACAACACTTTCTATAAGATCATTTTATATCAGGCCTAGTTATTATTTTTTTCTATCTCAGTTGTTTGTAATATTTTTTTTATTTTTATTTTCTAAAATAAAAGTCTCTGTCCATTTAAAATCTGTTTGAGGAGATTAAACACTAGTTAGAGCTTGTATGCAGGACAGTGATCTGGGTGGTCCGAGGGGAGACCAGCAGTGGCAAACAGTCAGCGGGGTGCCGACATTATCAAGCCAGTGGACCGATAAATGCTTGTTAGCTGGGCAGTCGAACTTATAGCTACGCATTGCATGGTCCCACTGAATGGTTCTTTGGCCCTGAGCGTAGTAAGCTAGCCATTACCAAGAAAACCACACTGAGCACAGTTTGTAAGCGTTCCGTGTTGAACTAGGTCAGTGTGGAAATCCCTCTGGAGCGCTAACTCTCCGTGCTCAGAACCGTTTAGCCCTGCAATGGAACAGAGGCGTGTGCCCAAAAGTTTGTAGACACCAACGGTTCTGCTGAAACCTTCTGAAATGAAGGTGTTAATAGTGAATCTGTGCTGCAGTAACAGCCTCTACTCTTCTGGGAAGGCTTTAGATGTTGGAACATTGCTGTGAGGATTTGATGGAGCATTAGTGAGGTCAGGTACTGATGTTGGATGGTCAGTTCTGGATCACTCCAACTCATCCCAAAGGTATTGGATGGAGCTCCATCACTCCAGAGAACACAGTTCCACTGATCCACAGCCCAATGCTGGGGGGCTTTATACCCCTCTAGCCCACACTTGGTGACCTTCGGCTCATGTGCAGCTGCTCTAGACCATCCCATTCTACTGCTCAGTGCTTTTCTATGGAGATTATACAAGCTGTGAGTGCGCAATTGAATGTTAAACAGTGCTTTCACTGACTGAAACCAGTACCAGGACTGTTTTGAATGGGCTGAATCTTGAGTTTCACTCTCACCAGTGAGGGCCTGCAACAAATTACATAGTAACCAAGACTGTGAGGCATTTATTAAACATTAACCTAAGAACGGGGCAAAAATCAGACACAAAACTGAATGAATATAGACACAAATGAATGAGTATAGAGTATGGAAGCTCAGACTTAGTACGTCAACATAACATGTCAGACATCAGGCAACATTTCAAGAATGTAAGCGATTATGTAAGTCAATATCTTCAGAAAAACTAATTATTTTGAGATACTAAGTCAGAGTTTCCAGGTACTAAGTCAGAATCTTCAGAAAATAAGTACTTATTTCAATATACTAAGTCAGTATTTTGAGAAAATAAGTAATTATTTAGACATAGTCAGTACTTCTCCAAAATAAGCCATTATTTTGAGATGCTAAGTCAATATTTGTAGACATTTTCAGTATTTTGAAGTACCTAGTTAATATTAAGAGAAAATAAGTCATCATGTTGAGATATTAAGTCAATATTTTCAGAATTAATTCATTATAAATATTATAACTGTAGCTTTGTTATGCTTGTAATTTTTTCTGTTATTCTGGAGTTCTTTAGTGTTAATGGGCTGGTTGATAATTGCGCCATGTTCAGGTTGTTGTTATTGTAGTGGAACATATTTTGCATTTTTAATTGCATTTGTGATTTATTCATTAAAAAGATTTTAATGTTTACAGCCGTCAGTAGCCGGGGGTCCAAGAAGGCACAATTGGCCTCGCTCTCTGGGCGGGTAGGATGAACCCCCCCCATCTCCCCACCCCTGATCACTCAACGCGATGCTAGTCAGCGCAGGCGTCTGTTAGCTGACGTAACAGATCTGGCGGTTGACGCTTTCCTCCGAGCGCGTTCGGCTGTCCAGTGACGTTGCGTGAGCGGCAGTTCGAAAAGAAGCGGTGGCTTCACAGGTCTCGGAGGAAGCCTGTGTTAGCCTTCACCCTCCTAGCGCTGGTAGTATTGTGTGACTGGGGGAGTCCTAACTAGCGGGTGGAATTAGAGACAACTAAATTGGGGAGAAAAGTGAGGGAAAATCCCAAAAAAAAGATTTTAATGTTAAAATTGGGTGAGCCTAGGCCGTCATTCCATCTTAGTGATTAGAGTCTGTGCCAGCTTGAGTGCTCGGTGTTTTACAACAAAAAAAGGGGACAAACACCAAGAAATTCTGAAATTCATGCAAAAATGTAGAATTCACAAATTTTGTTCACTCATGTTGTCATGCCAATAATATTACTTGAGATGAAAAAAAACTTTAGAATAGAAAAGAATAGAAAACTTTAGAAAAGAATGCAAAATAGAAGCATTTTTATTAGTGGACTGGATGTGAAAGAAAAGTAGCTAAAATCGGCATCGGCCTACTCCTCTCGGTGCATCCCCAATAATAGTATGACACAGTAGAGTAAGCGATAAAAGTATGATTAAAAATGATCATTTCCTCTCTCTCTCTCTCTCTCTCTCTCTCTCTCTCTCTCTCTCTCTCTCTGTCCCTCTCTCAGAGAGTGCGGAGGTTGGAGCTGGGGGAGCTGTTTTTTGACGTCAGTCTGCTGTTGTGGTGCTGCGTGCTGGTTTACCTCACTCAGCGGGGTCTCTGTTCTGCGTATGTGCCCATGCTGATGGTGGCTTTTCCTCTGGCCACCAAACTCCTGCTCTCTCGCCACTTCAGAAACAGAGGTGAGCACCGTCCACTGCTACACAGTTAGCAGTGGGAGGTATACAGGTGTACAAAACTTGGCCTCAGGTGGATTACCGCTTTAATAAGAAATATGGATTTTATGGAAGTTACCAATTTCTTTACAGTGGTGGTGATAGGAACCAGGGGTCACCATGACTACAACACAAATATAGACATTTTATTTACTATCCAGAACCACCAGTGAACCTACACGAGTCTTCTGAGTCTATATGGAATGTTGATGGTGGTAAAACCATCAAGAAAAGAAAAAGAATCGTCTTTGCTTCAGTGTCTCGCGTGGGCTTCTCCAGCATGAATGAATTTTAGTGCCATTACTATATTATATGTATTTATAATTGTGTATGTTATATTTAAAATTGTGCAGTTAATGGTGCTGTGCAGTCATAAGCAAATGTTTGAATACCTTGTTTTGTTGTCACATTTTTCTACAAATTTTAGTGCACTATTTCTGTTCATTTGTAGAGTTTAACATATTAAAAAAATATAAAATGTGCCTTAACTTTTGCACAGGCTACATTTTGTTTTATTCTTTCTCTAACATGTTATATTAAGCTAAATAAACAGTAATCGTGCATTAAAATGTGCAGAAGTGTGTTCTCTGTAGAGGATGTGTAACCAACAAAACATGTAACATGACCAGGGGTTTATACATATGTACACACACACACACACATATATACACTGGCCATCACACTTATAGGAGCTTGTTAGATGTCCTGTTCCAAAACCATGGGCATTAATATGGACCCGACACCCTTTCCAGCTATAACAGCCTCCACTCTTCTCGGAAGCTTTCTCCAAGATTTTGGAGTGTCTGTGGGAATTTGTGCTCATTCAGTCTGAAGAGCATTTGTGAGGTCAGACACTGATGTTGGACGAGAGGGCCTGGCTCACAGTTGACGTTCCAGTTCATCCCAAAGGTGTTCAGTGGGGTTGAGGTCAGGACTCTGTGAGGGCCACTGGAGTTCCTCCACACCAAACTGGTTCTCCTGACATCCACCAAACCCAGACTCATCATCAGACTGACAGATAGAGAAGCTGATTCATCACTCCAGAGAACACGGTTCCACTGATCCAGAGTCCAGTGGCGGCGCTTTACACCCCTCCAGCCGACGCTTGGCATTGGGCATAGTGATCTTAGGCTTGTGTGCAGCTGCTCAGCCATGGAGACCCATTTCATGAAGCTCCTGAAGCTCAGTTCTTGTGCTGGTGTTGCTGATATCATTTGTAGATCATTTGTAGATGTGTGTGATGTCTGTGCTTCTTTGTGTGCAGGTGCTTCACTGTCCTATGCGGTTCTGTACCTGCTGGGTCTGGCTCTGCCGTACGCTCACCTCATGTTCCTCATCTGGGTGGTCTTCGAGATCTTTACGCCCATCATGGGCCGCAGCGGCACTGAAATCCCTCCCGACGTGGTGCTCGCCTCCCTTGTCACCGTGGCAACCATCCTACTTTCATCCTTCTTTGTAAGTGCCTCCTCACTTGACTGAGGGCTGCAGTAACACTTGTCGTTGTACTGAGAGTGTAGCAGATGATGTACTGTACTGTTTGAGACGAGGCTCTTGGAATGGAAATGGAAATATTGACAGATTAACATTAATATATCAATGTAAGACACGTTTTCAGGCACTTATAATATGTGCTGTAAGGTTATGACGACAGGAAAGACACTAACTTTACCACTGATGGAGAGGTTTGGAGACGATGGACAGCTTTGGCTACTCAGATCAGTTATTAACAACAGAGGATCCTCGAGAAATACGACCCAGATCAGCTCTCAGCAGAACAAGGATGAAGGAGCCTGAAAAGATCTTTAAATGCAGTGATTAGTCTCTAAAAACACAGACCAGAACTGTCCACGCTGTGGTCCTCACTGTGGTTCTTTATGGGTGTGAAAGCTGGACGGTAAACAAGCAAGACAGGAAAAATACTGACTCCTCTGAACTTTGGTGTTGGTGAAGACTTTTGAGAGAAACTTGGACGGCAAAGTAAACAAACGAATGGATCCTCAACCAAATCAAGCCTCACCTCTCAGTCAGAGCCCAGAGAACCAACTGAAGATCTTATTCTGGACACATTCTGAGAAGAACCAATTCATTGGAAAAGACTATTATGATCAGAACAGTTGGTAAAAGAGGACAACCTGGAGAAACACCATCCATTTGGTCACCAGGAGTCAGAATCGACTTGATAGCACTTAATAATAATAATAATAATAATAATAATAATAATAATTGATTTGAGACACGACACACTTAAAAAAGATGGTTCTTCAAGTGTTCTTTAGTAAAGAACCATGAACACTCTATAAATCCTTTGTATGATTGAAGCGTTCTTTGCATCATGAAGGAGGTCGTTAGATTGATGGAGAATGTGTAGATTGTTCTATATAGAACCTTTTTGAAAAGGGTTCCATATAGCACCAAAAAGGGTTCTTCTATTGTGATGATGTCAAGTTTGTAGCAATGTAAGAACCCTTTTGAGTGCTATACAGAACTCTTCAAAAAGGTTTAATATAGACCTATATACAACACGTTCTCCATCAATCTGAAGAACACTTTCTTGATGCAAAGAACCCTTTAATCATGCAAAGCGTTCTTTGAGTGTACCGTATCAAACCACATTATAAATTTCAATGCATTTTAAGGGTTCTTTAGTAAAGGCAGTGGTCCTTTTTAGAGCCATGAGTTCTGTATAGAACTATCTAGTGCTTAAATGGTTCTTTGCATGGTGAAGTGGTTTTTCAGATTGTTGTATATAGTTCTATGTAGAACCTCTTTGAAAAGTGTTCTATGTAGCTCCAAAAACGGTTCTGTTGTTACAAGCTTGACATCGTATCAGTAGCAGAACTCTTTTTGGTGCTATATAGAACCATTTTCAAAAAGGTTCCATATGGAACCATATACAGCCATTTCACCACACAAGGCATGAAATGGTTCTCTGTAGAATGCATGGTTCTAAACCCTTTAAGAACCATGTTTTCAAAGGTGTACCTTAAGAAATGTATCCTTTTCATTTTTGAATTTGAATTAAAAGATTGGAAATTTGTTTGTAGGCCGAGTATGAATATTACGCAGCGCTTAATCCTGTGATTATTTACATTTCTTTATCAGGGACGATAAACAATAATCACCATAAAAGTGCAAGTGCTGGTTTGACTGGTTGGCTGACTGAAGCCTTAATCCTTAATCACAATAACAGTTTAAATACAGACAGAACTGATCTTATAACAAGAGACACACCCATACAAGCAGACCTGAGATGTGACAGACTAAGATTTTAAACTGGAGGGATTAAAATGTTTTAACAGTTTTTCAGTTTAACTGTTCTAAAATGTTGAAAATAGTACAATATTCTCTCTCTCTCTCTCTGCCTCCCTCTCACCTTTCTTTCTCTGTCTCTCTCTCTTTCTTTTCTCTCTCTCCCTTTCTTTTCTCTCTCTCTCTCTCTGTCCCTTTCTCTCTCTCTCCCTCCCTCTCACCTTTCTCTCTCTCTCTCTCTCTCTCTCTCCTTCTCACCTTTCTCTCTCTCTCTCTCTCTCTCTCTCTCTCTCTCTTTCTTTTCTCTCTCTCTCAGATGCACTTCATCTACCTGGCGCGCAGCACTAAGCGTGTGTTGGGGGCTCTCGGGGTGGTCTTTACAGTGATGTTCATTCTGGTCTCTTGTGGCCTGTTTTTTCCATATTCAGCTGACCCAGCCAGCCCGCGACCCAAACGGGTCATCATACAGGTAACCCTAAACCACCATCTGTTATTTCATCATTCAGGTAACTCTAGCACACACACACACACACACACACACACACACACACACACACACACACAAACACACAAATACACACACACATAAACACATACACAAACACACAAACACACAAACACACACAAACACACACAAACACACACACACACACACACACACACACACACAAACACACACACACACATACACACACACATACACACACACACACACATACACACACACACACACACACACACACACACTCAAACACACACACACAAACACACAAATACACACACACATACACACACACAAACACAAACACACACACACACACACACACACACACACACACACACACAAACACACACACACACTGAGTATGAGATTCAGTTCCAGCCGTCTGCAGCTAACGTCTGCACTGGGGAGGTTATAGAAACAACACTAACTTTTGAAATATAAGTCACAGTAATATGCAGTGGTGAAGCGTGACTGTTAGAGCTGGACCTTCAGGTCAGCCCATAAACTTCAAAACTCGGTCAGAAGACCAGAACAAAACTCAGCTATGATAATGCTGATTTCTGCTAACACACATTCGGGATTACATGCTTTGTTGAATTCATTCCAGAGATGCGGAGTCGAGTCAGGACAAAGAGCTTCACGCAGTAAACGTGGTGCTTAAAGGAAAGAGGAAAAACTTGAAAGCTTGAAACTGTGGCTGGTTCTTCAAAAGTTCTTTAGTAAAGGAAATGGTTCCATTTAAAACTATGTAGCTCCACAGTTCTTCTTTTGTTACAAACATGACCTCATAACAATACGTTCTTTAAAAAATTGGTTCTTTAAGGGTTTTTTAGTAAACGACAGGGCTTTATATAGACCATATATGTACGGTCAGCCTTGTTTAATCCACTTAAAGGAGCAAAATGGAGAAAAAACATCAAACCAAGCGTTTAAAAAATTAGTAAACAAACTAGAAGTGATGGAGGAAGAAAGAGCCAACAGGAAAAAATCCTCCTTAGAAAATATGATAACTGTGGGGTGACAGACGAGGATGAGGAGCAGCAGAGGCAGCGTCTGAGTTTGATCCATGTAGATGCTCACCTGGTCAACTTTCACAGCCTGAGATGAGTGCGAGGCTGTCGCAAGATTAAGAACACATTCAGCAACATATAATCTCAAGAATAACTGATAATTATTCAAGAAAAGATTTAGGACAAAAATTAAAGAATTCTTAAGAAGTTCTTTGAACAATAAAATGTTTTTGTATTTTTTTTCTCCTAAGAATGAGGTTGAGAAAAAAAACATTGAAGAAGATTTTCTTTCTTAAACACTTTCGTGAATCTGGCCAATCGTTGTTCAATTTAGGCAAATTGCCTGTTACATCACCTCAGTGCACTACTAGTCAAGAACTGGACCGTAGATTCTCCAGTATTCCTGCCCTTATTGACCCTTAATGGCCTTGAAATTCAGGAAAAGCTGATTGCTGAATAATTCTGTTGGTGAAATCGTAGAATCAGCCCATCTTCTACCGAGGACTAACGCGGGTTACGTTTCTGGCTTACTTTGTTCAGCACACCACGCGTACGTTCCATGCTGTGGACGGGTCAGTGGAGCGGATGGACTCCGGCCTGTGGATCAACAGCTTGGACTACACGGGCATGAGCCACGTCACCCCTCACATCCCCGAGATAAACGACACCATCCGCACGCGCTGCGCCGATGACCTGCCCTACTGCGGCTTCCCCTGGTTCCTCCCTGTCAAATTCCTCATCAGGTGAGTTCCTTTTTTTTTTTTTTACAACCGAGTAAAAGAACAAAGAGTGTTGCCCCTTAGAACTGAGTTACAGGGTAGTGGTTGAAATCTTCCCTCTGAAATGGGACCCTCAAATAACTTCATTAACAGCTACCAGCGCTGCTCTGTAGGCGACCCTGCCAGTCTGCAGTGACAGCAGAGGAGGGTAAAGTTCAGCTCCTCACTGCTGGGCTTTAGTTACATTGAGGGCATCATATGACCTTCAAAGAGGGGGGCAATTATTTACTATCACCCACCCCTAATTCTTCAGTGATATGAAGCTGAAGTCAGATATTCTCCAGCTTCTTGTTCAGATTTTACCGTTCCACCTTAAATGGAGCAGCAGTTCTGACCCAATGTAACTGCTGCACCATTTAAGGTAGAACAGGAAAATCTGAACAAAAATCTGGTGAAAATCTGACTTCAGCTTTGTGTAAGAAGGTGCCAACATTAATCTGTTCTGAAAATCTACACGGATTAAGGAATGCTAAAACTGACCGCTACAAAGCTTTAACCATCACTGTGAATAAATAACTACTACATAAAGTTAAGATCACCTGAATAGACTATTAAAAGAAATAAGGTTCTCTGTGCATCACCAACCACACGGCCATATCTACACATAAACATCACACAGACATGAGTGTGGATCACTGCGTTCCCTCCGTTATATAATCCTATCCCACTTTCTGAGTCCAATCTTCCTGAAATAGTATAATTTTGGACAGTATCTTAACCTTTTTAACTCTGTGGAACCACCACTGGTTCCAAAGCGCACTTCGTCATATTCTTCATAAATTTCATATTTCATAAGCTACATTCTAAAGGTGGGGGTCGTATGAGAGCTGTAACTGTCTTCTTTCCAGTCAAATAGATGGGTGATGTAATTTTAAACCCTTATAATAAAAGAAGCTGAACTTTTTTCTCTACTGAAAGTCGACCCATTTTTCCACAAATCTGGGCTATAAACTATAAACAGATGGCGTCTCTTCAGTGATCTGCTCTGTAAACATTATTATGTATTATTTATTTCAACCATGAAATCATGATAGCAAATTAAAGAAAATGTGCATGACTAAAAGAAAACGAGAGAACATAACGTCAAGCGTGGGAACGAATTACGAAATCATGACCATGAAGAAAAGTAAATGTGCGCACGAATCGCAAAACGTTCACTCAGATTTTTACCTCTGGGGCTCCGTATAAAGCTAAAACTGATGTATTGGCAGTTTGGAAAAATATCTCCGCAGATAGAATAGACACTGCAGTCCAGGCAAAGCATGGACACAACTGAAAACTTTTCTTTCACCAAATTATCACTCAGTTTATGTACGTAAATTGTTTATCACATTATCTATGACTTTCAGGAAGAACTGGTATCTGCCGGCCCCCGCTGTGTCTCCGAAATCACCGTTGGAGTTCAGGCTGCTGTCGAAGCAGCTGACAGAGTGGGGGGCAGTGAAGCTGAGCTTTGAAGCTAAAGGTGAGTTTGAGAATAAAAGCTGTTGACCAGTTCCATAAAGAAATATAGATGCATTTTTCATTTTCTCCTGATTGTATTTGTGCTGTTATTTTATTTTGATCGCTGTGTTTTATCGCTGCAGTGTTTTGCTTGTATTCCAGTATAAAGCACTTTCAGCTTTTTTATATTAAATGAAAAGTGCTGTATGAATAAAACATGTTTAGCCTAAAACACTTTAACCACGGTGTGAAAATAGTCCTAATAATAATCCTGTATTTACTGTGATCCAGCAGAGCTTGATTTAGTAAGACTGTCACATTTGTGGTTGTATCAAATAAAGATTTTCATGCAGAGAATTTTCATTTCTTCTTTAATTGTAAAAAATACATTTTGCAGTTAATATTTTCATAAATAAACTGGATGATTTATATATTTATAAATATCAACTGACTTATTCTGCCACATTAATTGATGGAATGTTCAGTCAAATACGTTTATATATAAATATATCTGTTCAAGTACCTGGCTCCACTGATGGTTGGATGTTTATATATATTCTTATATATTCTAATATCTCAAGTACCTGGCTCCACCTCTGATGGTTGAATGTATATATTTTGATATATTTTAATATATTCAAATTTTTTTCATACATATTCAAGTACGTAGCTCCACTTCTGATGGTTGGATGTCTGTATTCTAATATAGTCAAATATATTCATATATATTCAAAGACCTGGCTCCACCTCCGAGGGTTGGATGTTTATATTCTAATATATTCTAATATAGTCAAATATATTCATATATATTCAAAGACCTGGCTCCACCTCCGAGGGTTGGATGTTTATATTCTAATATATTCTAATATAGTCAAATATATTCATATATATTCAAAGACCTGGCTCCACCCCTGATGGTTGGATGTTTATATTCTAATATATTCTAATATAGTCAAATATATTCATATATATTCAAGTACCTGGCTCCACCCCTGATGGTTGGATGGTTATATTCTAATATATTCTAATTTATTCAAATGTAAATATATTCATGTATATTCAAAGACCTGCCACCACCACCTCTGGTAGTTGAATGTTCATATTCTGACATTTAAAAATATATTCCAGTACCTTGCTTTGCTTCTGACGGCTGAATGTTTGGTTCTCAAATATAAATATATATTTTTGGTGTGTCTATATATGGGTGGTTGTTTATACTGTATGATTGAATGTTCTGTATCCGCTGGGCGAACGTTTCTAATATATTCACATGTATGTATATATATAGTCTAATATATTCAAATATCTGCACTCCAGGGCCGAGCCACATGTCCCTGTACCTCCTGCCCCAGGCTGGTGCCTCCCTCACAGGCTGGTCATTCGGGGACGGGACACCTCAGTTTGACTTGAATGGAGAATATTTTATATTCTACTCTCACGGCCTGGACGCACCGACGTGGAACTTCTGGCTTGAAGTCCAGGTAGGTGTGAAGACTGAACACAATATATAATGACATGGAAGAAGACCAGAAAATATTCAATAAAATGATTATTTACATACAAAAAAGTTTGTTGATTGAAGATTTTGATACAGGTGCACGCAGAAGATGAAAACGTTACAGTAAACATTTTGGGCTGAAATTGTAAAAATACATAGTTTTGTTATACACTGCTGATATATATGATCATGTTTCTGTTCTTTCATTACACTATTAAAGCTGGGCAGTACGACAGTCATTCTATATATATATACACACATATATACATACACACAATCGGGCATAACATTATGACCACCTCCTTGTTTCTACGCTCATTGTCCATTTTATCAGCTCCACTTACTATATAGGTGCACTTTGTAGTTCTACAGTTACAGACTGTAGTCCATCTGTTTCTCTGATACTTTGTTAGCCCCCTTTTACCCTGTTCTTCAGTGGTCAGGACCCCCATGGACCCTCACAGAGCAGGTACTATTTGGGTGGTGGGTCATTCTCAGCACTGCAGTAACACTGACGTGGTGGTGGTGTGTTAGTGTGTGTTGTGCTGGTCTGAGTGGATCAGACACAGCAGTGCTGCTGGAGTTTTTAAACACCTCAGTGTCACTGCTGGACTGAGAATAGTCCACCAACCAAAAATATCCAGCCAACAGCGTCCTGTGGGCAGGGTCCTGTGACCACTGATGAAGGACTAGAGGATGACCAGCACAAACTGTGCAGCAGCAGATGAGCTATCGTCTCTGACTTTACATCTACAAGGTGGACTGACCTATATAGTAAGTGGAGCTGATAAAATGGACAATGAGCATAGAAACAAGGAGGTGGTCATAATGTTATGCCTGATCGGTGTACATATATATATATATATATATATACACACATTATATATATATCAAATATCAGGATGTGTGTGAGATAATTTGATGATTTTTTTCTGTATCTTGCACTTTTACACTTTTCTTCTTTGTCTCTGTTGTTGTTTTCATTTCCTAAGCCGCCTCCTGACCCTTCGGACGAAAAGGGCATCATCTCCATGGCCATCTCCTCCCATTACTTCTTCGGAGATGACCGGCGGACTCCAGAGTTGGACTCTTTGTTGCGGAAGTTTCCAGACTGGGCTTTCACTTCCTCTTGGGTCAGCATGTACCAAATGTACCGATACTAAGGGTCCGCTGTTTTTTAGGGGCCTGCAGGTTAGGTCCTCAGAAAGCATGTGCCCAGACACACACGCACTCATCCGGCTTCTCGGCCCCCAGAGAGACCCGGGTCCCTGCGTCACTGTGTTCGCTCATGACTGAGAGGAGGATCTGCAGACAACCTGGCTCATTAAACACTACTGTCACAGGTCATTTCACAGTTTAAACGTTCCTCCTGTTTCCAGATTCTTCTGTATGACTGAAATAGGGCTGCACGATTCGGACAGAACATCAGTATTGTGATTACACTGCTACGTATTACAGTACATTAAGAACACAAACAATAACTAACGAGGCAGCATGGATAAAGACCAGCTTGGATTATTATGACCACCATAATAATGATAGCACTTATTAAAAAATATGATTGGTTTGAGGACTCATTTGCATATTACTCTGTGATACTATTGCAATACCAGTATTGTGATACAGATTACCAACCGATATATTGTGCAGCCCCAGTTTAACCATTTCATCTCTCTCTCTTTCATCCCCTTTGTTGCATGTCTACCTCCTTTCTCTCCATTTACACACAGTGCTTTAACAGGAATACTGAAGCATTTTCAACCTAGTTTCTATATGTAGTGTATTTGTTATTAACAAGTGTAAAAGAACAGATAAGCTGTCGGCTGCTGAAGCCGCCCATTAGCACCACTTACAAGCACATTTCAATTTAAAGGAGTATTCTGGACTGAACATGTTTATTATGGCATTCGTTGTGCTATCAGTCTGCTATAGCATAACCTTGCATCCCTCAGCCTCATCAGTGTTCGCTCACTACAATACCCAGCATGCATTATACAAATACATTGCAGAACCACAGGGAATCCCTGTGGTGTCACCCAATCGTGACAGCCCTGATCTACAGACTAATAAATACAACCAAGCTAGCAACTCTTATACCTCAGTCGTCAAACAGAATCATAAAACGTGATTCCATCTTTAGTCATGTTTAGTTTTCACACTTTCAGTCAGAGAAAATAAGACAAACTGTGGAAACGTGTCTAGATTGTTAAGTACCTTGTTAACTTTAGGCTTTAGCTTGTTGTCTTCTTCATTTCTGCTGTTTGAGTGACCCGTACACAAACACAGTTACGGTACGTATATTCGATATTCGGCTTCAGGGAAGTGAGTCAGAGTTACTGTCTGTGGTAATCGGCTGTACACGTGCTCCAGACGCAGCAGGAGGAACCTGGGTCGAAAATGCTGAAGTATTCCTTAGAGAAGTGAAACTGACTGACAGGGAGACTCTCTGTGGTATTAAAGGGCAGGTTGATTCATGCCTCAGACACACCAGCAGGTGGCGACGTCATCTTGTATTTTTTTTCCCCCTCTGTTGTAACGAGCACACAAGAAAAAGACGAGGGCTTCAGAGACATGAGTGCTTTACATCTCTGTAAAATATGTAGGACTGCATTTTAGCCTTCAAAGAAAATGGTTTAAAACGATCTATCTGGGCTGTACGAGTGTTTCTGCTAGTAAAAAACAATATATAATATTAGAATAAACACAAATAAACAAACAACGGTTACAACCTTCCTAATAATGATAATAAAGCCACACAGTTATACATTTCGATGATGAATTAGATAAAACATGACAAAAATATTGGTTTTACAGTCATAAATGCTGCTGTAAATACATCAATATTAGTAATAATGATGTTTAATGAACATAGATTCAGTTGGCCCAAACAAACTTGCACCTAAAGGATATTATAAGGATAATAAACTTGTATTTCCCAAAGCTGTTTAAAAGCTTTTTACTGTTTGTCTCTAGTAGCTGCATGCCCCCCCGCCCAGACCCCCTCCAATGTTCACGCCAATGTTACGCTCTTAAATAGGAATCCTCTGAGTAAAGTCATTGGTAACTGTAATTACTGAAGTTTCTCGAGGAGAGCTTTACAAAGTTAACATAAAATTTACAATGAATTGTTTTATTTATTTGTATTCATGTTAGTGTGTTTTTTGAAGAAATACATGTTTATGGCCAGATAAATAGTTTTACACATAATTTTCTAAGATGACTGAAGTCTTTTGCCTTGCACTGTACTTTTCTGGATTTCTACAGGTTGAACAATAATACCATAAACACTAGGGGTGTCACGATACACGTTAATATTCATTTTATTAATACAGGGGGCGCTGTGAAGGGAATACAGTTAGGTTCCATGATATAAAATAGAATGATACCAGGAACGGTTTTCATATTTCAGGGGTCGTATTACAGAAACCACTTTTTGTCTTAAGTTAATATCTGACAGGTCAAGATAAGATTTTTCCCAAATTCATATTACAGAAGCAAATCTGACCTTAATTTAGGAATCTTATACTATCTTACAGAATCTTTTAGGAAATCTAAACCTACTCAAAGTCAATCAGCTGTCATGTCTGTTGCCTAGCAACCAGCCATACACACACAGCTGAAATGTAAACACGTCATCAAAATAATGTTAAAATGTGAGTTAAGCTGCTGTTACTGATGTAAAGAAGGTCAAACAGAACTAAAGTGTGATAAATTGTAGGTTGTGAATACTGTGAGAGCGCCCCCTGCTGTTCATCAGAGCGTCGCCGCTCCCCAGTTTCAGTCTCCATTTCCCGAACGCTTAATGTTCCGGGCTCGAGCAACACCTTGGGAACCACCTGGGATTCCATATCGGTGGCCTAGCAACACCTTAGGACCCACCTGGGATACTACAGCAGTGGCCTAGCAACACCTTAGCAGCCACCTAGGATACTATATTAGTGGCCTAGCAACACCTTGGCCACCACTTGGGATAGTATAGCATTAGCCTAGCAACACATTAGCAACCACCTGGGACACTACAGCAGTCGTTTTGGGTGCTGACTCACGTGCCTCTCGCATGCCTTATCGATTTATCGATTTATTGATTATACAATGCAGCTATTTTCGTTAATTGTGCTGCACATAGAGGATTTTTACGGAGGAAGCTGACGCTGAGGGAGGAAGCAGCTTTACTCGCTGACTACAATGCATGTTCTGAAATAACGTGAGAAGCAGACCCGTCATTAACCCGAATATTCTCAAATGAACTGAAAAGTGGGACAGGTGCATCACTGAGGTCAGGTTAGAGTTCCGTGCTCCGGCGGTTAGCGGTCACACTAGATGCGTATTGTGCCCAAGTCCAACTAAGCTGTGTCCAAGCCCATCTCTTTAAGCCCTGAGGCTAATGTAGCTAATACGTAATAAAAGCTTATGTACACCAATTAGCATGGTGCTAAATGCTAAACACACTCGCCTCAGACCGTGTGGAGGTGTTCAGTATCTCTAATAGTCTGCTGTAGTTTCTGACACAGTATGACTCACTGCTGTCTATAAACAATGGACTAAAGAACATTAACATAGCTACATACAGTAGTTAAGGGGGAAACTGTGTATGTTTGATTTAAGTCTGTATTACGCTAAAATGACCTGTATGACCTTGTCTTATTGGGCTGTACAGAAAAAGACAGAACAATATAAAGAAACGAAGAATGAAACAATAATAAAAACAAAAGGAGGTTGACATGCTGTCAAAAAAGCACTGTACAGTATTTCAAATAGCGGTGAGTACTGTAGTTTAAGGTATCTGTTATTTTGGTTAATGCAATGATCAATGCATGGAAATTATAAGAGGTTTAACAATGGAGAGGATCTGTATTTGACAGGAGTTCCAAACTGGTTTTTATTAATGTTAATATTTGTTTTTAGAGTGTTCTTTTTAATGTGCACTGGAACATAAAGGACTTTTTTTTATTAATAATAATAATTAATAATTCGGATTAGTTTTAGAAACGTACGTTTTGGGATTTGGGATTCCTGGATTGTCTACATGTGTAAGGACTGGACTTTTTTCCTTTTTGTATTTCTTTTCTCTATTAGTGATTTTGAAAAAGCTAACTTGCTGTTCGTTTTACTGTTCTACTCTTGTACTATTTTTCATGAGTTGCAGTTTTTAGAACCACAACTCTTTGCAGAATCATACATGCTTCACTGGGATTATGCGCTTGTGTTTTTTTATCGCACATATTTGTTAAAACATGGCAAACGCATATTAGTAACCACCTGGGATACTAATACTAATACTATACAGAAACTATACTAGAACAGTTGCCGAGCAACAGCTTAGCAGCCACCTGGGATAGAATAGTAGTGGCCTAGCAACACCTTAGCAACCACCTGGGATACTACAGCAGTGGCCTAACAACACCTTAGCACCCACCTGGGATAGTATAGCAATGTCCTAGCAACAGCTTAGCAGCCACCTGGGATAGAATAGTAGTGGCCTAGCAACACCTTGGCAACCACCTGGGATAGTATAGCAATGGCTTAGCAACACCTTAGCAACCACCTGGGATACTACAGCAGTGGCCTAACAACACCTTAGCACCCACCTGGGATAGTATAGCAATGTCCTAGCAACATCTTGGCAACCAACTATGATACTATAACAGTGGCCTAGCAACAGCTTAGCAGCCACCTGGGATAGAATAGTAGTGGCCTAGCAACACCTTGGCAACCACCTGGGATACTGTAGCATTAGCCTAGCAACCACCTAGGATACCATATTGTGGCCTAGCAACACCTTGGCAACCAACTATGATACTATAACAGTGGCCTAGCAACAGCTTAGCAGCCACCTGGGATAGAATAGTAGTGGCCTAGCAACACCTTCGCAACCATCTGGGATACTGTAGCATTAGCCTAACAACCACCTGGGATACCATATTGTGGCCTAGCAACACCTTAGCACCCACCTGGGATAGTATAGCAATGTCCTAGCAACACCTTGGCAACCAACTATGATACTATAACAGTGGCCTAGCAACAGCTTAGCACCCACCTGGGATAGTATAGCAATGTCCTAGCAACACCTTGGCAACCAACTATGATACTATAACAGTGGCCTAGCAACAGCTTAGCAACTACCTGGGACACCATATCAGTGTCCTAGCAACACCTTTGCAACCACCTGGGATTTCATAGCAACATAGGAAAAATTTTCCCTTTTATTCCTTTTATTTTTTACTGTAATCTTTTTTTCTTTTTTAAACTTGTTTTTTTGGATTCTCTCTGTTTGTTGAGGGTATTTTGGCTGATTATATCTGTGGTGGTCTCTGACTTTCGCATACTACTTTTCCCCGATTAGGAAGGAGCACCGAAGTCAAACCAGGATGTTCACTTTGTACGTGTAAAATGTTGCCTGTTGGAAAATCCCAACCTAAAACTGATGAACCGCATTAATGCACACGTGTGATATTCGTTAATGTGAATCAGCCGACTGAGTTACGCTGTGCAAACTATGCAAGCGATGGACTTAAAGATCACTCTGACTGTAGCAGAAACTTAGTACCACAGAAGATCATCATGTTCTGTTTAATGTTTTTATGTGGACTCTCACCACGACTCACATATCCATCACATATTTTATATATTTTTTTGAGATATTGAATATAAAAAAAAAAAATATGATGGAAATAAAATTGCTAATAAAATGGGCAAAAATCAAATTAAAGTTTGTACACTTGCTGCTGATTTTGCTGATAAAAAATGGCAAAAATTATAATAGATGTTCTTAGAATAAATAATAGAAAGACAAATAGAATAAAGTCAAACCCTTGTGAAAGAAATGCATTTAATAGGTGTATTTACTGCAAAAATTATATATATTTTTAACGTTTATGCTTTAAAAATACTTTAATACATACTGAATGTCTTACTCTGGAACAACCTGACATAAAACAAAAAACATATTCCGGTTTGTTTAACACGTCTTTGTTGACTACATAATTCCAAATGTGTTCCTTCATAGTTTTAATGTCTTCAATATTAATCTACAATGTGGAAAATAATAAATATAAACTATCAGGAGGTTTTGTGTCACTAATTGATAACAAAAGGCTTTTTGACAAGCTCACCATCGCCCCCTACTTTGAGCTTCGCCTTGACAAGGTGTTGGAGTGGAAAGGAAATTTCACTCTCGGTTGTACCCACTAATAATTCTATGTTCCCACCGACGTTCAGCCCGAAATTCCTACGATTGTCCCCAGATGTTCCTGTTACTAGATCTGACCCCGCTAGTCTCACTCCAGCCTCCACACCCTAGTAGTAAGCAGTAACCCTGGTTACCCAGAAAGACATTAAGGAGTTGAATTTGCAGTTTAATCCACAAATACACTCAAGCTCCTGCCTCTTTGTCTCAAAATTAATAGCGCCCTTTTTGATGAGCTCTAAACTCTAAATGCTGGGGTGCAAAATCGGCGTAAAACTTAAAACAGTCCCTGGAGGGCAGGCACAGTTTGGCTGTGTCCGAAATTTTATAAAATGGCTTTAAAACGGTGCTGAATGCCCCATTTTTTTTCACCTGCTGCTTTCAGGTAATGCCATACAGCAGCGTCAGCGCCAACTTCAGAACATACAAGAACGCTTAAATTTGGTACGCGGCTCTCGTTTGGCAGCACATTATACACCGATCAGGCATAACATTCTGACCACCTCCTTGTTTCTACACTCATTGTCCATTTTATCAGCTCCACTGACCGTATAGTCTCACTTTGTAGTTCTACAGTTACAGACTGTAGTCCATCTGTTTCTCTGATACTTTGTTAGCCCCCTTTTACCCTGTTCTTCAGTGGTCAGGACCCCCATGGACCCTCACAGAGCAGGTACTATTTGGGTGGTGGATCATTCTCAGCACTGCAGTAACACTGATGTGATGGTGGTGTGTTAGTGTGTGTTGTGCTGGTCTGAGTGGATCAGACACAGCAGTGCTGCTGGAGTTTTTAAACACTGTGTCCACTCACTGTCCACTCTATTAGACACTCCTACCTTGTCAGTCCACCTTGTAGATGTAAAGTCAGAGACGATAGCTCATCTGCTGCTGCACAGTTTGTGTTGGTCATCCTCTAGTCCTTCATCAGTGGTCACAGGACGCTGCTCACAGGACACTGTTGGCTGGATATTTTTGGTTGGTGGACTATTCTCAGTCCAGCAGCGACACTGAGGTGTTTAAAAACTCCAGCAGCACTGCTGTTTCTGATCCACTCGTACCAGCACAACACACACTAACACACCACCACCACGTCAGTGTTGTATAGTAAGTGCTGCTGATAAAATGGACAATGAGCGTAGAAACAAGGAGGTGGTCATAATGTTATGCCTGATCGGTGTAGATAATCAGGACAAACTAAGGCTACGCAGTTTAAAACATCAAGACAGTTCGAAAGTCAAGATTTAGCATGAACTGATGGAGCTTCATGACATTTTAAGTTAGTTTTATCCAAGTTTGGCCAAAGCTTCTCTGTGTTTATGCACAGTTAGCTTTAGGGGTATCAGTGAAGATTCATGAAGAGATCAAAGCCTGTGGAATGAAGGTAGAGGAGAGAAACCCAGTACAGCACAGTGCTGTACTTTGGGAAATGCTACCATGTTGGGATGACCAAAAAAAAAAGCTGAAGTCGGCTTCTTACTCAAATTTCTTGTTCCACCTTAAGAAGTGCAGTTACATTCTGGCACCTGTGCAGGTGGCAGGATGAATCTGCTGCACCGTTTAAGGTGGGACAGAAAACTTCAGTAACAATCTGGCAAAGAAGAGCTGCATCAGTTACTGTAGTCACTCAAAACGATTCTCTCCGCTATCTGAGATGTTAAAAGTCCTGCCAGAAAATAAAAGCTTAAAAAGGAAATGGAAAAAACTCAAAGCACTGCTGGGTTTACTTTACGTTGCCATGATGAAAACGGTCTGATATGCACACACCGTCCTGATCAGACAGGGAAGTAGAGTTTTTACAGCTTTTTGCTTTATTTGATTGGTTAAAGATCATCACAACACAAATCAGAGGGTTACTGAGATCTTTTTGATATTTACACTAAAGTTCAAAGCAACATAAACAAGCTAGCTGCAAAAAGCAGATGGAAAAGATTAAGGTAGAGCACAAAGTTCACTGTTTCTGAATAATAATAATAATAATAATAATAATAATAATAAATTTCACTGATGAGCTAAATATAATCATTTTACATGGTCACTAATGATCCTGGTTTCTGCAACAAGACAAACTGACTTAATTATGCACATTTCTAAAATCAGATCTGAATACAAAAAAATTACCATATTAGGACAGTTTTGTCTGTAATGTTATTGGGTGTATGCAAATCCAATAAAATACGTAGTGCAAAGCATGTTGGGTAGTTTCATCGATCAAAAGTGTTTCGTGACTCACCTTTACATCACAGAAGCGTATTGGAACGAGGCCCACTGTCCATGTTAGATAAGGAAGAACAGCCCAGCAGGGCTGCAGGGTCGGCAGACGCTCTGTTCCAAACCACAAACCTTATTTTGCTGACAAGGAGCAGGAGAGACAACTAGAGAACATGAAGATGATGAAGATGATGATGATGATGATGTAAAATTTACGTAAGTTTCAAAACGGTACACATCACAGAAATGTCTGCGTTTCATCCATTCAAATCCTGAACAAACATTTTAGCGCCCAGCTCACTGTATAGTGCACCATCTGGGGTTTCACCATTTTGTACCGAACACAGAGCAGCATAAAACACTTAACACTGCTGTTATATTTTAAGAGCTTTTAAACTCGAGTTATAGGAGTTTAAAACAGAGCCTCATGTACGTTCATGATGTCAGTGAGGGTGAACAGCCAATGAGCTGCTCCACTCACAAACCAATCAGCACTCAGTAGCAGTAACGTCAACCAATCATCATTAGCGTTACTGCTACCGAGCGCTGATTGGTTAGCGTTACTGCTACCGAGCGCTGATTGGTTAGCGTTACTGCTACTGAGCGCTGATTGGTTAGCGTTACTGCTACTGAGCGCTGATTGGTTAGTGTTCCTGCTACTGAGCGCTGATTGGTTAGCGTTACTGCTACTGAGCGCTGATTGGTTAGTGTTACTGCTACCGAGCGCTGATTGGTTAGTGTTCCTGCTACTGAGCGCTGATTGGTTAGTGTTACTGCTACTGAGCGCTGATTGGTTAGTGTTACTGCTACTGAGCGCTGATTGTGTTGGTGAGCTGATCAGCTCAGCTTAGCTTCTACTAGTAAGGCAGTTTTGTGGTTTAGACTGTTACAAAGTCCTATAACTGAAGTTCAAGAGTTCAAAAATATGACATTTTGATCTATTTTATGGTTTTCTGCTTTAAGAAAATAACTGCATTTTCTATTTTAAAAAGAATTATGCAATTATTTGTAGAAACCAATTCATTTGGGATGCACTCATGATCGCCCTCTAGTGTTTGACAAACCCGGAAAACATTGCTGAGAGTATGAGTGTGTGTGTATATATATATATAAACAGTAACTGTCCACTAAATGGGCAGAAGTGTGTTCTTTTTGAAAGATGTGTTCACCTATTTACACTTAGAAGATAAACGTAGTTTGAATGCAAAATGTTGCATAAAACTGTATATGTAACTTTACTTTGTCTTGCAGTTTTAAATTCTTCAATAGTTATTTTAACTTACAGTCTTAGCGGAATTATCACTGAAGGAGCCTCTGAGCCTCTTCACCATGTTTAGCTATAGTAATTCAAAATGGGTTGCATTAATGTCATCAATAAGATAATCAATAAGATAAATATGGTACAAAAATGAATAAATAACACAGCTACGTCAAAACTGTCCTACAGCTGAACTGCCATAGAGAGCTGGTGCAACCAAAACACTGCACTAACAGCCGTCAGACATTTTTATTCATCTAAATCAGTCAAGCCTACATTTACTTTACCAATAAAAGCTGCATTTTACTTTAAGAATAAATGTAAATTGTCAACTCACATGACTCAAAATCATAAAACAAGACCAAACGTGTCTCATTTGTGCATGAAGTCATTACACGTCTCGACTGAAAGTTGTTTTTAAAAATAATTTATTTTTCTTTATGTACAGGAAAATATAGAAAACAAGAACTTGGTAGAAAAAGTTATCGTACAAGAAAACTGTCACTATACACCGCACTGAGGACGCGCTCCTGCATCGCTGGAGGTTATGAAACTGTACACAGGAAGAAAAAGCTCAGAGTCCTTCTTCCGTCCAGGTTCAGGAACGTCCCGTAGCCCCTGCGTGAAAAATGAAACGAGTACCGCTCTGCACGTCCGCTTTTTGGGAAAAATGAAACGACTTCAAACGATTCCGCTCCACAGTTTCCGACAGGCCGTGCCGTCTCCACTGGTCGCGTCCCGAAACGGGGGATCTCTCAGACAATGTGGTTTGGAGCACTTTGCATATTAACATCCTCAAAACTTGCACATAGAGCAGATACTGTGGGCCTCAGTTAGTTCTTTGGTCAGCACAACAACACCGTAACGGCCGTATATGAACAAACGCACTGCTGTCTGTCGGTCACTCAGCCTGAAGACCTTCAGCAGAAATAAAGCAAAAACAGAAAGATGAACACGGGACAGCAGCACAGCAGCGTCAGCTAAATGACATTTTTACAGAAGCCCAAAGCAACTTTAATAAAACATCCCATATTTGTCTGCAGCGTTTCCTGAGGAGCAGAGAGAGGCAGAAAAACAACCGTCTGAACACAACAGAACAGCACAGAACAGCACAGAGCAGAACAGGACAGGGATCAGATTAAAAGAAATAAAAACGAAACAGATGATCCTTAAGATTGCACAAAGATTAACCACTATAATACTGATTTTAACAAAAAAAACAAAAACAAAAAGAGGGAGTCACTGCGCTTTTGTCTCATCCAGGCTCCGCCCACAAAACTGTTCTAATCATAGCTACTGTTGAGAGGCTGGGCAAATTCTACAGAACGCTGATAATCACATTCAGACTCAGTTTATATCACAATACCTACATTTAGAGCCGGTTATTCATTTCAACCTAAGGAGAAACTTGTTGTCAGAACATAATGCTGGGTTTCGAGTTTCTAGACTACAAATTAGCCACCCTAAGTATCATATACCATAAATATTATTTGAAATCTCACTCTAAATGTAGGTATTGTGATATAAACTGAGTCTGTTCTACAGTTTCTCATTAGGCTGAATGAATAACTGACTCTAAATGTAGGTATTGTGATTTAAACTGAGTCTGTTCTACAGTTTCTCATTAGGCTGAATGAATAACCGACTCTAAATGTAGGTATTGTGATACAAACTGAGTCTGAATGGGATTGAATGGGATTTTTATCAGCGTTCTGTGAAGTTTGTCCAACGTTACAGTAGCTATGACCGAGCCCATTTGTGGGCGGAGCCTGGACGAGACAACTGGAATAATGTGCACTCTTGTTTTCCAGTTCTTACTGTATTTACTGAGTTTTTTTTTATATGACTCTGAGCAAAATCTTTCATATTTAATAGGTTTTTAAATCGTTTTATTAACTAGGAAGATAAATAATTTGATGGGACCTGTCAGTCATTTTCCCCCAGACTCCTGCCTCTGTTTATAGTAAGGGTCATTCATGTCATTCGTGTCCACCACTTCCTGTTGGTCATCGCTTTGTTTCAAAATTCAGTAATGTGCCTCGATAAGAGAATAAGATATGGAGGGAAGTCACTACGATCCGAGTTACGACTCTTCAAACTCTGAAGAGTGAAATGAAGTGATTTCTCAGGGACGCACAAATCTCTCCTCCAATAAATAACTACAACTAATCAATGCACTCAGATCACAAACAGCAATAACAAGATAGTGATAATAATAAAAATAATAATAATAATAATAATAATAATAATAATAATAATGCTATTGACCAGGCTGTAGCAACAAATACAACAAAATATAGATATATGAGTCCAAAATGCTATCATCAATAACGATTCCATACACATGTACACTCACTCACGACCATTATGGGAATAAATAGACTCAAACGCTCGGCTGGAGCTTCGTCACACGTTAAATAAGCCGCTAAATGTGGAACGAATTCTCTTCTAAATACGTGATTGTTCATCGTTATAGGGGAGTTTACAGAGACGACCGCAGCTAATGCTCTGTGTTACATACAAAAACATCCGAGTTCAGTCTTCACTCTGTGTGTCCACCATCATACCATCATTATAATAATACGATGCTGAAGGTAACACAAAAAAACTCAAAGGGTTTGTTTTGAAAAACAGTAAGCAAAAAATAAAACAAAATAACTTGTTAGTTTTGGAGAATATTGGTGAAAAAAATCTCAAACACAAAACAAAACAAAAAAAACAAAACAAAAAAAATAAATAAATAAAAATAGCCCAACTTTAAAATGTTAGTTTTGGACAACGTTGGTGAAAAAAACCCCAAAAACAAAACGAAACGAAAAAACAAAAAAACACTAAACAAAACAAAAAACTTTAAAATGTTGGTTTTGGACAATGTTGGTGAAAAAACCCAAACAAAAACACACTCAAACAAAACAAAACAAAACAAAACAAAAAAACCCGACTTTAAAATGTTAATTTTGGAAATAATGCGGGGGGGCGGGCAACTTTGAAGTATTTGGATATCAATGGGCAAAAAACAAACCACAACAAAACAAAAACCAAACAAACAAAAGTATTTGTTTTGGACAACAATGGGCAAAAAGGGCAAAAATCCCAAGCAAAACATAAAACAAACAAATGAAAAATTCTGAAGTGTTAGTTTTGGAAACTAATGCGCAAAAAACAAACAAAAACTCTCAAGTGTTAGTTTTCAACAATAATGGGCAAAAAACTTATTAGTTTTGGACAAAAAACAAACAAAATTGTTCTGGACAACAAAGGGCAAAAATCCCAAACAAAAAACAAACAAAACAAAAATTCTGAAGTGTCAGTTTTGGAAAATAATGGGCAAAAAAACAACCAAAAACTCTGAAGTGTTAGTTTAACAATAATGGATGAAAAACCCCAAACAAAAACACAACAAAACAAAAAAAAACCCAAACAAAAAAGCAACTCTGCAGTATAAGTTTTGGACAATGACCAAAAAAAACCAAACCAAAAACAAAGAGTGAAGTAAAGAAAGCTGGCAGGCTTTATCTGGATCCCCCACAGCTGCAGCCACAACACACTGAAATGTAACGATGGCGTTTGAGTCCCACAGCAGAGCGTCGGAGCCTGAAGACTCGCTTTAGACAGGATCGTCACTCGTTTCATAATAAACTGAACACGGACTTTGTTCTCTGGCTGGAGACGCGGAGGAACGGGTGGATGGAGATTCGTGCACTAACAGTGTCGGTCAGTGAGGTACTGGAGATCACGCGGCTGAATCGGAACCGTGTTTGTAGGCAAAATGTCCAATTCGCGCTCCTGTTTCTAGTCGTCAGGGAGACCTGGGAGAAAACGATCATCACGAAAAACTGAACAAAAACAGCGTAAAATAAAAGTCGACACCTCCTAAAAAGGGCAATTTGGTACGAAGCTCAGTTAAACTTACAGGAACTGAATCCATCCCTCCAAGAAGGCTAACAATGCTAAAGAACGTTAGTTAGCGCTCACTGAACCCTGATGTATCCAGGCTCCGCCCACAAATGTCAATAATTTTAGATATTCACTACAATCTTTGCTATTATTGCCAAGTTTCCGCTTTGTGTTGTTGTGGCTAATTAAAACCGGCCAGGCTTGAAACGGCTATGCCAATGTTAGCCTGCCACTATGCTAACGTTAGCTTGACTGAGCAAATTAAACCACACAAAATAAATATAATTAGACCCCTAAACTTATTAGCTGTGTGCAACAGTGTCTCCTTAGGTTGGGTATAGACTTATAGCGCTCTGATAAGCTTGCAGAGCAGCTATGCATTTGTGGGCGGAGCAGAGAGAGATCAGAATTAGAGAATTAGCAACATTAGCATTCTGGATGAGCTAATTTGTTGAGTTTCAAGCAGTAAAGCAGCAGGAGCAGCGCTAACACTGCTAATAAAGAAAGAAAGAGAACAGCCGCTAGTTAGCACTATGCAAGTGAACGGCGCTAACTAGCCGCTATTAGCTTTCAGTCATTATTAGCCATGCTAGCCTTTTCTAAGTGGCCTTTTCAGCCTTTATAAGCCTCCTGTCACAGAGATGGATCAGGATGTAAACAAAGGCACATCCCTCCATTCTGAGCCCACATGATGAATAAGAGGGGATAATACTGGTGGTGTTAGACGGCAGCATAACACGACACACACATTTACACACACACTGCAGTCCGGATGGGTGCAAACTCGACCGGAACGAGACAGAAACGCAACGTCTGTCTCTGCTGAGTAGCACACATGAAAGTAAAAAGGCTACATGCACTCAAACAACGTTATAGTGGCGCAAGAGAGACCACTTAAAAGTCGGGACCAGTCGGGGCCAGTCCTCTCGAAGTCCCTGTGAGGAGAGACGCCTCGGCTGATCACGGAACAGTCCTGCGCTCTCTCTCTCTCTCCGCTGGAGAGGACACCTATCCACAGTCAGCCTTTATAAACACTTAAAGCGAAGGTTCGGCAACAAAAACTGCTTAAAAATGAAACTAAATTGCCGCCTTTTCTCCAAACCAAGGCCAAGTTAGCTTCTTTAGTTCTGCGCTGGAGCTGTGAGGCTAACGTAGCTGGTATTCAAAGCTTATAGCCTGCCAGTTAGCATGATGCTAACTGCTGAGACCGGTTACTGTCATCTATAAACAGGGACTAGCGTAGCTAAAGGCAGCAGCCGTACTGAAGGCTGTGTTCTGTAGATGCTAACTGCTGGAAAATTAGCTTCCACTAGCAGTTAGCCAAATTAGCCTCGTAGCTCTAACTAAAGAAGCCCGAAACACGTCTTGGCTGATCGACTACGTGTGAATTTTTGGCCGAACTGTCGCTTTAAGATCACCACAAGAAGCCCCCACCGTCTCAGTGGAGGTCGAAGGTCATGACAGGGTGCAGTCGTACGTTCCTTCCTCCACGGCCTCCTCCTCCGGCTCGTCCTCGCAGGCGTCCTCCATGTTGCGGGCGCCGGAGCCGGTGGAGGCGTCCGGGGGCAGGGGGAGGCCCAGGGGGGCGGGGCACGGCTCGGCCCGCGGCAGTGCCGGCTCGGCCAGCTTAGACATGCTGGACGGCTGGAAGGCTTCAGGCTGGACCTGCTCCACTGACGCATCACACAGCTTCTGCAGCTGAGGACGAATGAGGTTCAGGAACGGCTTATAACCCAGACTAGAGAGGGAGGGAGAGAGAGAGAGAGAGAGAGAGAGAGAGAGAGAGACGTAAATAAAACAGTAGAAGTCATATCGCCCCCTACACTTCCTGTAGTGTATTACAGTCTGTCAGAGTGACTGTGTGGATCATATGAACTTTATAGAAGCTTTTTAAATGAAACAGTAGAAGCCATATCGCCCCCTACACTTCATGTAGTGTATTACAGTCTGTCAGAATGACTGTGTGGATCATATGAACATTATAGAGCTTTTTAAATGAAACAGTAGAAGCCATATCGCCCCCTACACTTCCTGTAGTGTATTACAGTCTGTCAGAATGACTGTGTGGATCATATGAACATTATAGAGGCTTTTTAAATGAAACAGTAGAAGACATATCGCCCCCTACACTTCCTGTAGTGTATTACAGTCTGTCAGAATGACTGTGTGGATCATATGAACATTATAGAGCGCTTTTTAAATGAAACAGTAGAAGACATATCGCCCCCTACATTTCCTGTAGTGTATTACAGTCTGTCAGAATGACTGTGATTCTTTAGAAACAAACCAATCAAGATCAAAGGCTTAAGTACTGACCAGTCCGAGGAGGCCCACTGGTCGACGGCCAGCAGGCCCGTGCGGATGCTCTGGACGGTTTCGGCCGGAACCTCCGGACTGTCCAGGAACCCGACCACCTGCTTAATAACATTCACATCCCGCAGAATCAGACCAATCACAACGCACCAGTCCAAGCAGCCCGCCTCCATGAACACGTGCAGGAGATACCTGTAAGGAGAGCACAGAGATCTAAACATCTCAACTCCGAGGCACCACGAGCTCCATCACCTCCAGTCAGTCAGTCCTGCTGAAGGTGAAGACTAAACATGGAGGAGCAGCGTTTAGATACTGTGCTGCTCTTAAATGGACCCAGTGGACAGAGAGCATTAGGAGAGCCCCGACACTGGACACTTTAAACTAGCCTGAAAACGATCCTGTTTCAGCAGCTTTCAGCTCAGTTTACACATCGTTAGTGTTTCTCATGGGACTCACCTGAGCTGCACCTGGGACTTGTGAGGGCCCTTATTGGCCAGTTCCATGGAGATGTGCTCCAGCTCTGATTGGCTAAGGCTGAGGGTGGAGAAGTTTTCATCCACCATCGTCCAATCACCATCCACCATGGAGCTGGTCTCTGTCAGGTCCGTGGCTGAACCAATACTGCACTCCTCCGCTAGAGGGAGCAAGAGAGTGTGAGAGAGGAAGATAATGACAACAATAATGCTAACAACAACTACAATAACTAAACAACAATAACAACAACTACAATAAATAATGATGCTGATCATTATTTAAATTTAATCAGAATTCAAAAAGCATAATGATATT